GAAACTAAGAAAAAACTACAGAGCGTACACTTTCATTTACATACGTACACCACGCACGCGATTTGACATTTGTAAGAAAAGAATCCACATTTCTGCGATAAAAGAGGGAGAACAACGCTCACAGAATCGCACACATTGACTTAATTTTACGTCCGAAGTGTGGATCCTTGAAACATGAGGTCGCATATCCCTAACTGCAAATGACATGAAGCCTAAGTCTTATGACAGAAAGCTGATTGTTTCAGAGAGATAGAGAGAGTTAAGCAACGTCAACAATTTCTGGCGCACTACAACAAAAGCACATGAACTTTATTCCATCTCGTTCGGGGCCCGACGTGCTAAGTGGCTGAGAATTGGACCTAAGTTGACACTACTGCTTGTGGAAGACGGTACCTTAACTAGACTCTTATTACCACACTCAAAACACCTAGATGCCAGTGCTGAGATCTAATCGTGCTGGCTGCATAAGGCGCCCGCAAATCTGTAGTATCTCAGCTTCCGTTTATACGCGTGTTGCTTAGCGTTATAATCCGCGTACGTGTTGCTTAGCGTATTGCTAAGCGTATTGATACGCGTTTTGCTTAAGATCTCAATACGCATGCAGCTTTAAGTAATAATACGCGCTTCCATTTGTCACGTTAATACGCGTGGCGCTCCTCTTGTAGATACACAACTAGCTTGGTTTTTTGATACGCACGTCTCTTTTTCTGAAGATTCGCGTAATGCTTCAAATGATTAACTGTGCGATTCCTATATCAACAAATTTGAATTTAAAAACAACATACGACGCGCTCATTTGCCAATCATGTTTTGACTATCTAAGCTACTTGACCCAACTAGATTAATTTCCCAAGTGCCTTAAATTTTAAACACATGGGCATCATATGGCTGCAGTTCGCGTTTATTTAGTGATGATTTGGATACTATTTAAATTTCCGGGTAAGTAATTGATTTGATAAAAAGCTAAACGTCGACCACTGCTTTATACTCTTTATAGAAGCAGCCACCAAACTTTTACAACAAACGCTTCGGTATCTTAATCGTTCCACTCATAATTAATGACTAATAAATTATTTAAAAACACACATTGCCATTGCGACTCATACCACGCGTGCTTGTTGCCTGCAAGAGAAAACTGCTCCCACACTCCACAATGATGAATGCAGTGAGTCATTGTGATGAACATATGTGAGATTCACGCTCTAAAAATAATCACGGTGACTCGTTCTTACATTATAGGAGGTATACAAAATCCTTGTATCTTGACTGCCACGATTGATGGGCATATAGCTTTAGAGGAGACTTGACGCGTACGTTGGGAGGTCGTTACATTTTAAATCAATACTTGTGACTCATTTTCTCATTTTAATAATTGTAGCCGCTTTAATGTTCAAATATAGAACGAAAATAAACATTCCCAAGTAATTATTAGCACTAAAAGCTTGCAGGAAACAACAACAAAAACTCGCAGTATGACAACAACTTCGTCAACAACAGAAGCCTGATTAATTATACAGTAATTACCAAGTTCCCCAGTAACTTGACGACCAAAATCAGATACCATTACCGCAACGCTGCAATACCAAGATTATATTCCAGTTTGTAGTACAGTAATTATTAAGTAGACAAGAGTTTCCTTACATTTCTACTACGTAAGCCAATCAGTGATATTCAGTGTAATTTGATTACTTCAACACATGTTTACATGCAGGATGAGTACAAAAGGCAGTACAAATTTTGCTGGAATCTAAGAACATAACTCCAAAGATTTAGCACCTGTAGTACAGTGTTGCTCAAGTGCTTCATTTTCCGAAAACAATACATATTACCTTATACAGAGAGAATTCTTCGAGAATGTGTCGTATGCTTACGAGGCGCATTTCTAAAGAACAAACATTTACGCGTAGCGAACTTTACAGTAGTAAAACTCCTTTCAGCGTTGCCAGACATGCAAACAGTTACATTCTTCTCAAAATAATCGAATGTTTCACGAGACGAGTTTAAGAGAAAGTAAATAGCGATGTTTATAGCGATTTCGTCAGGCGAGCAATTAACGGGGACTGATAGAAAGAACTTAGCAAGAATTTGATATGAAAAGTTATACGAATACAAAGAAATAAATAAAATTAGAATTTCTAGAGAACGGCCATGCAAGTAATTATTGTAATAATATGTCGCAGTAATTACAAATAATTGCACTGTACAACCTTCAGAACAAGTTGTGAAGATTAAAGTTTGAACCAATATTTGTTCGTTACTAAAATGATAAGGTAGCTACTTAAGTACCAATTATGTACGTCAGTAGGCAAACCTAATCAGTTGAGTCTTGATGATCATTATTTAAGTGAGTCAAGCTTTCATCAGAAACATCCACAATTATTTCGTTAGCGCGATCACGTAATCTCCGTATGGTTGAGAAAATACGAGCGATCAGATACACTAGATGAGTCACCTCTTCATTCCATCGTTGCTTTACAGAAGATGCACAGACTGATCTTTTACTCGGTCAGTTAAATTCTTTGTCAGTTGTCTTTTTAATGGAGACTAAATGACCGATCTAATACCTGATCAGTCATAACAGTATTCAATTGCAGCTAAATCACCGATTGATTTGTTAAGGTGAACGTACGACTGATCTAATATTAGATCAGTCATACTCGATCACAACTCGTTTCACAATCCCTACAAAGCACCAAAGAACCAACCTCTCACAGTTAAAAGTATCGACTTAGAGGTAACTTAATATGATGACTTAACTTAAAAGCTCACAACAAAAGCTGTGAAGTTGGTTAATAAATGAACATGCCGAGTCGTTCTAACTATGACTTGGGGACAATTATTGAGGAAAATTTTAATAATAAACAAAATATATAAAGAACTAATAAATAATTAGTTTGCTGCTGATCTAACCGCCCCCCTAAGAAAACATTGCATTATCGAACAAGCCGAGTCTTCGAAGACAGTTGACAACGACAATTCAAGGCTCAGATGAATACACAATTCTAGAAACATCCGTGATAAATCAATATCTTAAATTTGGAAACGAAGATGTCAAAAACATGGAATTACGAACGCTTCAGAAATAAAAATTCAGAGAAGCCATAAAGGATTTTTTTCAAGTTTATCGCTACAGAATATTATTAATTTTAGCCGACAATTAACTGTACAAGAAGTGGAATCAAACAAAATGTAAAATTTGTTACAAAACTAGGATTAAATCAGCAATATAGGTATGATTTTGTGTAAAAATATTTCACGTATATTCTACATCAAGTGGTTACTTTTTAAATCCAAATTCAATTATTTTGGAACGCATAGAGAAAATTTCTTCCCTTAGTTTACACTATTTTTCTGCAACTAATTTAACCAAAAAATGATTCTTAAATAGAGAAGTTATTCCAGAAGGATTCAGTGAAAGATGTTACAGCGATTCCAACGATTCATACAAATCAAAATTATTTCACTAATAAATTTCACAATTATGCAGTATATGAATTTATTATGCACGAGCATCAGTTGTAGTATCTTATTTATTACATCGATATAAGATTAATTCATAATTTAGTGCGAATTATCAATTACCGCGTCAGAGAAATTCAATATAATCAAAATTTTAACAAAATTCTAGCCTCCGACAGCAACTGGATGAGAACATCGAATTTGGTGCCGCGGCCATTCATGTAAAATTTAATAATTATTATTTTAATACACTCCTTGAAAGTTTCTTTATCAAAAAGCCACGTATATATACTTTACAGAAGTATATGGCATAGTCTTACTTAAAAACCAAAATAAAGTTAAATTAAGAATAAAATGAAATCGAGTACGTCAAATAATTGGAATTTATTTGTTCATAGTTATAGCTCACTAGTCATGTTCATTATGAGTTACTAAGCAAACAACTTTTTTATAAAAAGAAAGAAATTATAGAATACACCCCGCGTTGAAGTTATTTTAACAATGGAAATATCCAATTTGACACCTGAATTTGTAAAGAGAAAAGTACTTACAAAAAAAATGAAGATCCTAATGTCAACTTTTACATTAGAGGAAACAATTAACATTGTTACGTATATTTAAGAGCACGAAACATATTCCGCCAATCTTGAGAAGATAATCATCACAATTGTTTTTCGCCATTGTTGCAAAATGCTCCGATTTATAACAACGCTTGTGGGTTTAATTAATTGTAATGATGTATGAAGGAAGCCTATGAACGGTAACAAGGTCACGCACCTTCCAGAAGAGTTTTTTCTTCAAGGTCTTCCAACTCGTTCATCTAATAAATGGTGATCAACGAGAGAGAGCATGCATCAGAAAATAAACACGTCATAACCATCATCATCCACATAATCACCATCGCTGACACCTTCATACACAAAATCACCAACACCGAATCCTTAAACCGATAGCTTGATCGCCATCTCTTGCACTTGAGTTTTGTTTCAAGTCACGAAATTTCTCTAAGAAGAACATGTCCGAAAACTCATCTTGGAGAAAATTAATGGCTTACAAAATCATCCTGGTTCATGTACATCATTTCTGCAGAGGCGTGATTTTTAATAAATAGGTCTACCATGAAAAATTTCTTTCAGAGAATTATATTCCTCGAAAAAGGTTCATGCAGAAGAACAATTTCAACTAAGCATCTTATTATATGTCTGCATAAAACTTGTGAAAAACTGCGTTTGTCAAAAAGTTTGTCATTGAAGGGCGAAGAATAAGCAAGAGGCACGCAAGCTCCGCTCTTCCAGAGTGAGCGCCATGCTTGCTCAGTCTATGCGATACGTTGCAATGCATGCAACATGACGCAATGCATGCACCACGACGCAATGCACGCACCATGACGCAAAGCATGCACCATGACGCAATGCACGCACCATGACGCAATGCACGCACCATGACGCAATGCATGCACCATGACGCAATGCCTGCACCATGACACAATGCCTGCACCATGACGCAATGCCTGCATCATGACGCAATGCCTGCACCATGACGCAATGCCTGCACCATGACGCAATGCATGCAACACGACGCAATATCTACGCAGTGAACAAGACACTAGCAGGATACAGTAGTTGCAGTAGTCAAGGGTAGTGCGCGCAGTACAGCAGCGCGGGCAGTAGCAAGAAGCTGCAGTACAAGCTCGTCCCCACGCTGCCCGGGGACCCTGAGGCCACCACTTGCACCGACTCATGGTCGTCGGAGTAAGCTGAGGTAAATAAATTAATTGAGCAATTAATAAAGAAATAATTAAATTAAATTAATTAATTAATAAATTATTCAAGTTAGTCGTAGAGAATTAAATTTACAGTGAGTGGGAGCTTATATCAACATTTAGTTGATTGCACGGACTCATGGTCGTCTGAGTAAGCTGAGGTGAATAAATTATTTGAGTTAGTCGTAGAGAATTAACTTTGCTGGACACTTATATCACTATTTAGTTGACGCTTATTTGACAAATAAAATCATTTTATAATAATAATATTACATAGGTACAATATATTGTATATGATGATTCCTGTATTAATATACTGGTAAGTAATTAATATGTAATTTATTATAAGAAAAAGAGAAGTAGGCTTTAGTACCCAAACAGCTGCCGGTTAGGAGTAAGCAGGGCACAAAAAACTAAATAATTATTAGCTGAAATATAATATTATTATAGCACATAAATACAATAAATAAATTGATACTAATAAACAAGATAAATACACTAATAACCAATAAAGAAGATAAATAAATCATGACTGACTGGTGACTCTGCTGCCCTCCTCAGTGACGTCGTTGGCCCCATCACCGGACGCGTAGCCAGAGCCATCGTAGTCACCGTCCTCGTCATCCTCGCCGTCCTCGTCCACGAAGGAGCCCCCCGAGCCACCGTCGGGATGCCGGCGCTCTGTGGCCGGGTTAGCGTCGGCATCGGCGTAGCCTTTACGCATCTGGCTGTCTGATGCCGGCAGCCATGTGATGCGCGACATGATCGTCTGGGGGCGAGGCCGGTCATGATAACAAGAGGTTAAAAGTAATTAAATACAAAGTTAATTAACTGAATTGTCAAGGGACCCCATGATGTTAAAAGTAATCAATACAGCAAGTAGATTAACTAAATTTTCAGCGGACCCCAAAATGTTAAAAACCAAGTAAATTAACGAAATTTCCAGTGGACTCCAAGATGTTAAAAGCAATCAAATTAGCAAGTAAATTAACTAAATTTTCAGGAGACCCCAAGAGGTTAAAAGTAATCAAAATACAAAGTAAATTAACTACATTTTCAGGGGACCCCAAGAGGTTTAAAGTAATCAAAATACAAAGTAAATTAACTACATTTTCATGTGACCCCAAGAGGTTAAAATTAATCAAAATAGTAAGTAAATTAACGAAATTTTCAGGGGACCCCAAGATGTTAAAAGTAATCTAAATAGCAAGTAAATTCATTAAATTTTCAGGTATCACCAAGAATTTAGAAGCAAAAAAAAAAACGCAGAATAAATTAATAATATTTTCATTGCTCACAAAGAACTCAGAAAGAATTAAAATAACATGTAAATGACAAATATTTTTAGGGGTCATCGAGAATTTTAAACGAAAAATCGACAAGTAATTTCCCCATATTTCCAGGTGTCACCATTAAGTTAAGGAAAAGAAAACACCATATAAAGTAACCGTAGTTCCCCTGAAAACATTTATAAGACCAGCTTTATCATCGTCGATTATTTGGCATTCTACATCATTCTTGATCTGAACATGGAGCTGATCTCCGAAAAGTTTCTGATGAACATTTGATCATTTTCCTTCTACTTTTATTAGTTAGTGAATTCTTGATATGGGCCATGTACCGCCACATGGTCAGACATGTGATGTGATGTGAGGTAATCAGACATCCTTCTATAGAGTATGACTTATTGAGATATGATGTAATGAGATATGATGTAATGAGATATGATGTAATGAGATATGATGTAATGAGATATGATGTAATGAGATATGATGTAATGAGATATAGCGTAATGAGATATGACGTAATGAGATATGACATGCTGAGGCATATTGTAACGTGACATGACATGATGATGCATAATGTGCAGAGAAATGATGTTACAAGGCATCACTACAAATTGAAAGACGCACAAAATTGCATTGCGCAAGCCATGGGCATTTGAGACAGAAGTTATAAAGCTATAGATGTGTTGGAATATATGGAAAAATGAATTTCAAATGTATAAAGATACATGAAAGTGCAATACAAAGATGCATTTAAAGGTAAAAAGATGAAAATTCAGGAATTAAATACAAGCATGTACAATGCATGCATTTTTTTACTTAGCATTGTAATGCATGAAGTCAATGAATATTCTTCAGGTACTGTTCTGAATGCCGTAATTACAATTCTATATAACTTCCATGAACACCGGAATGAAAATTAATGATGGAAACAGGTCGCTAGGAAAGTTTACAGCACGCAAATGTTGGTTTCATTATAAACAAAACATGTCCCGTTTACAGATGAATTAACGAGCATAATTAGAGGTTTGGGTCAAACGGATTCTATGGCGGCGAAATTTTTTGGCGCGATTCGATTCTGACAATGTAGGAAAAACAAAACTGTGTGACCTCAATATTGTAAATTAAAGTCTCTGCAGCGAGACTATAATCTCTTTATACCTGCCAGGTATAATGAGATGTACTTTTTAATGTATATGTACCAGCGCCATTTACCTATTATTTTAGAAAGTGTTTTAGTTCCTCCCACAAGAAAAAATATCTTGAAGAATTGGGAAATTTAGCAGAAAACAAAAACGTGGAAATCGATCCATAAACAAATGCAAATTATGAACTAAGTCCACGGAGGACGCAGCAAATATTTCACTATCTCAACGGCCGACGTTGATCTTAGGGATTTTTTTATAAACCATCTTAGAGGAACGCTCAATTTCAGGCGCGACTTGAGTTTGAACTCACAATGAATATTTACATGGCAGGGAAATGCATGCAATGTCATGCAGCAGCCGCGACCAAATGAGAGCTTCAGCCAAGCACACCATTGCTGTCAGACATGAGGGACCAAACGGTATCATGAGGTGGTATCATGAGGTGGTATCATGAGGTGGTATCATGAGGTGGTTGCGCCAGACGGGTGAGTTAGAGATTTCCTTAATCAAAGTTTGAAGTGTTATTCGTAAAAGGTTCTATTTATTCTAGTAATTTTTAAAGCGTAATGTGAGAATGGTTTTTCTATGAATCTATGTTCATGAATAAAAATCTTACAACTAAATTTCATACGGTCCCAGCAGCATTATACAATTTTCCACCATTGTATATAATATGAAATTAAATAACATTTTTATTACTATATCGAGCAGTGAAGATCGCAATTATCCAGAATGTACAACCGACACAATTAACATTTATGATGGATGAACATTAAATAATTGATAACATAAAGATAAAGATAAAAATAGATAGCATTTAATAATTTCAAGGATAGATGAATGACGACAAGATCGCTCTAGAGGGAAACCCGAGTCTAATATCTGCACCAGCATGACATCTCACATACCTACGTACGTACTATTCAACAATTTTGGCAAGCAACCAACGTTGATTTGAAAATCACAATTTGATTACCGGACCAGATTTGAAAATAAAAATTATTGTCACATTCTTTTAATTAGCTGCATTTATTCGTACAATACAATAGTTGAAACCAAAATGCCAGAAAATTTATCTTCATAAAGTGCAAAAATATCAATAAAATTCCGAACTCGCTACCAATCCTGAAATGAAAATGAATAACCAAAACGTCAAACTTCGCTGCAATATCCGCTAAATCCACGGACTGAGCCACCCTCATCCAGTCCGGCAGGCAATCTACATTTTCATAAAATGCAAGCCTCAACAAACGGAGAATTCCGATAACAGGAGGAGACGAAGGTAAAAAGATTAGATCCAAATAAACAACGAAACTAAGAAAATTTAAGTCAGAAATGTAAATAAAAAATTTTTGCAGAAAGCAGTAGAATTAAATGAAAACAGAGAACAGAAGCATATCTGGAAAAAATGATGAAGTAAACCAGAAAAAGGTGAAATTTGGAATTTTGAACGATTAAACGAAGAGATAGAAGAGACAACTAACGGAATGGAATGACAGAAACTGGAATAAAGTTTAAATATCAGCAAAATCGCTCACAGGAATATCTGACAAGTCGTCCGTTGTCAGGGACGCTCGGCAACGAATATTGTGGCAATCGATGAGAGGCAAGCGACTAAAAATCGATACAAAGGGGAATTGAGGGGAATATCTTTCAGATACAGAGAGAGCAGGTCAGAAGCAATCGATAATAATTGCTATTGGAACTGCCTGGCCTGACCCTCACCACAAAAACAATAAGAAAGGCTAAAAATCTCGGCAGGTCGTTGACACGCACGTTTTACAGCCAACCGAGAGTCAGGGTTTGTGTACAACGCATTACAGAATTTGTGTCGTGATTTATATCGTCTAGTGGAGGCTTCTAAATAGCAAAATATTCTATTCGGATAGTTAAAACTACTTGAAACCTTTGTCCAAAGACATTAGTTAACTCTTGTTGCAAGCCTTTCACTGACGACGTACGACCAAAGTAAACTTGTGCAAATGATTACACTCGGGATTTAGAGTCGACCGTTTCTACGATGAACTGATGAACTTTGGCCAACTCCGCACGGCTGCCAGACGGCAGCGCTGCGGCAGCGAAATGTTATCGCGTGCGCTTGATTGCACCGACCACGACGGACTTTTGAACGCTGCATCAAAGCTGTCGTTCGTCGGTGTGATTAGTTGGCGACAAGACTTCAAGATATCAAGTTTGCAGGTGCTCAGAAATAATATAAAATTTGTATTTGAACCGAGTTTTGAGAGAAAATGTCAATAAAATTGAGCATTTAATGAACAAGCAGATTTTTTATCTCAACCCTCAAGGCCGCTCAAGTTTCATCTGTGACTCATACGTTTAAGTTCTAGTTACCACAATGTACAGTAAGCTGCAAATTCGAAATCTTTCGATTTGAAAATTTTAGCAGCGGCTTCGGCAACATAGCAGCCAGCGCAGACTAGCAGACTCGTCGTCCGCACCAGCCCAGTCAGGGTACGAGCCCAGTAAAAATTTACGGACGCGGCAGCCTGATTTGAATTACCAGAAGCTGGGGCGACTCTAAATTTTGTTAGGGAGTGCTGGCGTATCCAGGGGCCATACTTTCAAAACTCGCTAAGTGAACGTAAGTACTTACGCTCTATTTTCTTGTTTATGATTAAGGATTTTGCTTCAAAGGCCGTCAATGATTGGCTGATGAAGTTACGATCTCTTAACTTTTTTGGAAAGTATAGGCCCAGAGCAGCTAAACACTGCCGTAACGCGGCGGTAGCTTGCACATGCCAGCCTGTTAGAGCCGTGGACGCGGCGACAGCGCGAGCAGCGAGGGTTACAGACGGCTGGCGGTCCTCTTGAGATTAATTACGGACTAATATTACATAATATCAAAGTGATAGTTGAATAACAGTAAAGGAAAATTAATAAAATCGGCGGTGACTGCATTTCGAATGCTTCTATAGAACTCAATATTAACCCATTTGAATGATCCGTCAAGTCAGTATAATGTACATAGAATATGAAAATTAATTCACTTTGTTCCCTGTCTTGGCGATTGTGAAAAATGGGCCAATGAGGATAGATATGAGGAGTGCAGAAATATTTTTAATCAAAGTACACATGAAATAAAGAATGCATTAGCAGGTTATTGACGTTCAAGCATAAGAGGAAATAGTCAACAAATTATTGCCCGTAAAAGGTACCAATGAATACCGTGCTAGTCGAACTTTCTTGATGTTTTCTTCTAGCCATTCGGCATTATTATATGCTCTGATATAATGAATAATGAAGGCTTAATCAGATGTTAAGGAAATTCCTTCATTTCATAAAACTAAAACAACGTAGTCTATTGTAAAATAAGT